GGGCACCTCAGAACACCGGGAAATCTAATCTAGTCACTAGTCACTGGCGTGCTTCCCTTGGTACTGGTAACTGGTACATGACGACACACGTTGTAGTGAAGTGATTCTAAGTGACGACACAGTGATTCGGGTGGGGTCGGACAAGTCAGAGGGGTATCACATACGTGACCACTGAGACTGGTAGGGAAAGGTCTGCAAGATGGTGCTGCCAACACATGAATCAAGACAGGCACATCGGTCGAAAAAACACTAACTAACAATAGCTCTTCAACAGCAGACACCAGCCTCACTACTCACTAGCCGTCACTAGCCACCATACACAGTTTATTTAGACTTAGACTCTAGACTCTAATCAGTCAGCTGTGTCAGACTCAGAAAACTGGTTAAACTGGCTACCAGTAAGTTACTAGAGTCAATAGAGTTATGGAGTAACTCGAAATACTTGAAATAAACATCTTCCTAAATGCACTAGCGGCGGTCACTAGCGACTAGTGACTAGTATTTAGAGAATCCACTCTGTGGTCACCGTTTGTGAAGCTTCTAACCAGATTCGGTCGCACCGAAAATCTGCGGGAAATCAAGCGACTGTGTCTTGACAGTGTCCCCAAACCAAGCTGTATATCCTTAGCCCTAAGCTTGCGGATGCCTTACTGGAACATTGTACCAAACATATCAGTTGCAATGTTCAACAAATTTAACATTTAACAGTTATTGGCACAACCACTTCTAATTGTCTAAGTCTAAGTGTTTTCCAAAAGATTCATGGTCACATAGCACCGGAGGCCAGCACGAACCCAGAACTTGTAGCCTTGCAAAATAATAACAATAAGAGTACTATCTAATCACAAGCAACACGGCAGCAAACGAATGACGAATAAGATACCGGCCACAAAAGCTAAGGGTTAATGCAAGTGACATAATTGGTTTGTCCATCCTACCCGGTCCTACCCCGAGGCTCTAGACTCTGGACATCAAAGTCCAGACAAGCATTCCGGCAGGCGGTTTGAAGGAATCCGTCAAGAAGGCCCGAGTAGTACGAGAGGACGATGTGAGTGACCAAGCAGATCACGGGAAGACACGTTCAAAATTTTGCCAAGAAAGCAGCAGGATTGCAGCATTTGTAAAGCCCATGCTCGCCGGAGTTCAACAAATTAACCCTGTAATGAATCCACAACACCCACCCTCAGACAAGACTAATGACTGACTGATGAGTCTCAGAAACATGACAGACCTAACACCGGCATACCAGACAGAATTCAGAGCAAACAAAGACACTAACATCACTAACAGCTGAGCGGCTAAGCGGACAAAAGATGCGAACTCAGCCTACGATCCAAAATAACCCAAGGCACTGCCTGTGACAACAGCTGCTCGGTTCTTGGGCTCGATCGCTCAAATGCTCGTTCCATCTCCTCGTCCGGCTCCTCCTTCACGGGCCTTGCCTGGCTGGCCGACGGCTATTCGATTGTGTCTAAAGTTGACTAAAGTGCTAGATTACTAGATTTGACTGGACTGGACATTGATTGGACAACACTTGCATTCGCCATGAGCACTTTCATACTCCTCCGGACACGTCGGGACCTATGACCTAGAAACTGCAAACAAAGACTCATCGACTCTTGCAACGAGTATGCATACAGACGGGTCCTAGTGTTCTAGTGACTAGTGACTACTGACTCGGTGTCATCCAAACGCCAAGAATCCCCTACGGATTCGAAGAAGCACGAATAAAGGTACTACCTCATACAAATTCGCCCTGCTGCCCTACCAGTACTCTGCTCTAGACTCTAGACTACGATTACTATTCTGGGTGGCAAGACCACTGCCACCAAAAAGCCAAGAAATCGTGAGTAGTGATATGACGAAGCGCCATAACTGGTGTGACTTCTGTGGGTACCGGGCTGCTTGAACTACCAGCAAAACTGACTTGCCGGTGCAGTGACACGACTCTATGCTTATGCTTTTACTTTGTACTGTATGCTTGTGTAGGAAATCATGCCGTGCTTCCAACATACAGTTTCGTCAAATTGGCACACAATTACAACCCTCTCTGACACAGAAAACTTTCTGGATCGCAGTAAAAGTTCGGTGGAGCCCGGGCGACACGAATTGCGAATCTATGGTGCTCACAAAATACAACCGTTGCCGATAGCTAAATCCACTTGAAGCAAACACAACACAGACCCTCCCAAAGCTGGCCATCTGATATGGGCGCTTCTTGGGTCCTTTGCTTTGCTAGCCACTGCTCACTGCACCTGATTGCTAGCACACATACTTACTCTCCTGACTTCAAATTATTGCCTGCAGCGTCGCCTTGGCAGCTGTTGGTTTCTTTGGCGGCATGGACACGGAATTGAGAGCTGGGCAAGCAAGCAGACTTAAAGAAGCCTCAGCCCAAATCTCGCGGCAGCTGAAGCTTAAGAATCGGCTTCATTCAATCGTGACGACCCCTGCAACTCCCAAAACACAGCTGGCATGGGCTCTGATTCAAAGCCGAAAAGCCTAACCCTAAGGACTGCCCCTGCCAAAGCCACAGCATGACCATCATAACATGACATAACACATTCGTGCGGCACAATTCTCGAATCTTGTAACTGTCGCGGGAAGCCAAAATCCTGAACCGATGGCTCCAGCCGTCTGATTTGCAACGGTAACGGTAACGGCTCTGTGACCGTGATAACACCGAGCAGAGTAGACTAGCAATGACTAGCAAAAGCTGCTAGCTGACTAGCTGAATGCCTCAGTAGCTGCTCAACACCCATGAAGGTGCTTGTTTCAAGACCCACGACCTACGACTCTGAGCCCACGACTACCCTGACGACCAGAGTACAATTAGTCGTCTTCATGTGTGACCGACGGCTCTGGCTACTCACTGGTGGCTAATGAGGCTAACGCGGCTAATGACGGCTGAGTTCCAGTCAACCAAGACGAAATTACTGACGGATGACTTCTCTGGCATCGACAATTCGATCTTCTTTCTTGCCCACCCGGATGGAGCAAATGCACTCATGTGTCTAATGAATTATCTTGCAGACGAGGGCCAAACACGGATGGCCCATGTCGTGGCCACTGCTGCCCCAGTTCCACATGGGAGACGACAAAAAACCACAGACAGAAAGTTCCGAGCACATAAATCACGAGAGTCACTCACTGGAGTCACTACAGTCGTCACACCACAAGCAAGGAGAGTGACATCCAAAACATGCCGCAAGCTCACTCGATCAAGCTACCGGCTATGCAGCTGCATGTTAGAAGCGGGCGTCATTATATTCGGCCCCCAAAAACATGTACTTGTGGTTGTAAATCATGGGTGGAAGACACCGTCTAGAGTCTATAAGTCTGGAGTCTGGGGCTACGAGTCGAGTTTAGGGAGTCTCGGGTGCAGTGTCATTTGCTATTCCTCAGGCTCGAATAAGAACTACAAGGACCAGGCTATGGCCTAGAGGGCCTAGAGTCCTAGAGCTTCGAAGACCTATGACAGCCCGAATTTTCTTTCGGATCTGATACTCATTCCTTGAAAAACCTAGATAGCAGCCATAGCCATATCTGCAAGTACTAAGAGTCAATGTGTACATGTTCGTTAAGGGCCTGCAGTGGCCTGCAAGGAGCTATGCCAAGCCCTGTCTGTTCTGCAACTGCTCGACACTGCTACACTACTAGACTGTCCATGCTTCGTCCTTCGAATGCTGCTGCAGGTGCACTAAGACACACTGCAGCAATCTAGTGAATCTAGTACTGTACGAAACCACTGGCAACTGTTCCGTCTGAGACATGGACCCAAACAATCCCGTCTCAAAACTCTGCCTGGTGCCGGAGTTACTACCAAGACGTGCTGCTGCTAGAATCTAGAATCTAGTTTCTAGAAATGACATCCCGTGGTCCATGCCCGGTGGCGGGTAGCAGTGCTGTTTGGAATGCACAACACTGACTCAATCGTGAACTTGTGAACTAGGACGCTAGATGCCGCTAGATTGCAGATTAAAACAATTCCCACAAATGCCGCCCACCAAGTACGAAACAGCCAGCACGAAGCTGCTGACAGCTGATTGAAAGTTAGCAAGTGACATCTTCGCAGTGTTTGGGCCTGCATACGACCCAGACCCAGACCTCGCCGTCCTAGCCACCCCAGCCCGGGACCCAGGAGTACCTGGAATTTCACCGAGAAAAAAACACAGCCTCTCGGGCCTCCGCAGACCAGGCTTGTGAAGGCATCGAGCCCAGCATTGCCGAATAAACTATCAATACCAGGTCAATACCATGACCACTACTACGTCACCACTAGTCACACTACCCCTGCCGCTGCTACTGCTGCTACTGCTACCCCTACTACTCCTCCTGCTGCTGCTACTACAACTACTGCTACTAATAATAACAAGAAGAATAATTCCACTTACTAGTCATGCTAATACTAGTTACAAATACTATTATACACATACACTAATACTAATACTAATGCTAATAGACTAATACTAATAATAATATTAATACTAATACTAATACTAAAACTAATACTGATACTAATACTAAATAATAATACTAATAATTACTAATGAATACTAATGCTCATACGAATACGACCACGACGAATATTATTACTAAGTTCATTCATACTGGAAACCACTACTACCTCGTCACACGGCAATATCTTACGGCTTATGCCTCCCGCTTGCCTTGGAATCCAAACTCTGCCCGGGCAACCCATATACATTTGACTCCTTGCGACTGCACAACCCCATATAGGCCGGCCTAGGGCCTAGAAACATAAAGACTTCGGATAACTGATTTCATCGAATCTAATCGCTAGACTTGGCTACAGAAGTGTTTCTGCCAGCTGCTGCTTGATTTCAAGAATGTAACGAGCCTTCGCACAGCCTGGACTCTGTTACTGTGTCATGCCAAGACACAGTCTGCTCGCTAAGACCGCTAAGACTAAGGTGACTAACGCACTAAGGCACCAGGGCCACTCACTCGTCACTAGGGCCACAATGGTGAAAAAAACATCAATCGAAGTCTTCCGTGATGTCAATGACAACACGCTGCCTCTTTCTCGCTGGCTGCTGAGCAACTCTGTCTCTAAGTCTGGCTGGTGTGGGTGTTTGCTTTTGCTTCACTCTGGAAACACGGCTTGGGCAAAGGATCTGGAGTGGTGTCTGCTGCGGAGCTTCGAACTGTCGGTTGCGCATGACCCAGAAAGCCCAAACCATGGTGGCCAAGCAAGGGAGGCTCATTCCATTGCCTACCATATCTTTGAGAGCACGCTGCCCAATGCTTCGGGGGGCGATTGCGGATCTGGGGAAGCCGTGCATGAGCATCATCTCCAAAGGAAGAACGACACGGTCTTCTGAGTAGGAGTAAAGCAATGTCGAGGTGGTGAAGGTGCAAGCTACACCGTCAGCACGGCTGTGTTTCATCCGGTCATGGCCTTGAGAAATATCTAAGTATGTGTCCTTCAGCACATCAACCGCAAGTTGGCCACGTTTGGAGAGCAAGACCTTTGCGGCGACGGTATCGATCAAGTCTTGCTGCCTGGCAGTCAGCCTCAGGCCCTCCCCTACAAAGTCATCTCTGCTCGTCCAGAGAGCAGATGACAAAGAAATCCCAATCGCAATTCTTGCTTCAGCGGCCTTGAGCTTCCACTTGGCCTCGTGACCGCCAGCATCGCGTTCCGAAGTGGCAGTCTGGTCAGCCTGACACATGAAGTCTTCTTATAACCCCTGCGACCAGAATGAATGGAACACAATGGAATGACTGAGACTTCACTCGACTCCACTGGCTAGGTTTAGCATTAGTTAGTCATTTGCCACGGTCTACAATGAAATGCCAAACTGTCATTGTTCACTATCACCATATACCATATACTGCCATACACCCTGTGTCTGTAAGGTTTCTCATGCAGTCTGATGCCAGCAAAGCCGGTCAAACACTGGGACAGTCAGATACTTCAAGTTTCCAAATCGGAAGAACAAAGAATACTGGTAAATGGTACCTGGTAGCAGCAGCAACAAGTAACGGGAACAAGCCCCAAGCCCAATTGGATGCCGTGCACTTCATCCAAGCAGCACAACCCACTTAGCAAGCCCACAAAAGCGCACAATGCCAACCAGCCCCAATCAGCCCGGCCCAGCCTTCGAGCCCCGAGCCCCAACAAGCCCGGCCAAGCCTTCCCGGGCCCCAGCCGCCCAGCCCCCCCAAGCCCCAACTCTGGCCCCCCAGCGCCTTTCCCGCAGCCGGGCCCCAGCCACACCCCCAGCCCCACCCCCAGACCTGCCTTTGTCCTGCCTTTATTCTGCCTTTATTCTGCCTTTATTCTGCCTTTATTCTGCCTTTATTCTGCCTTTATTCTGCCTTTATTCTGCCTCTATTTAGCTCTATTTAGCCTCTATTTAGCCTCTATTTAGCTTAAGAATACCCTGGAGCCACAAAAGGTAGGGAGCAAGGCAAAATAAAGGTAGGGAAAAGGTAGACCAAAGGCAGGACCAGAAGCAAATTCGCTCTGAGGATCCTGCAAATAAAAGGTAAGACATAAGGCAGCCGCAAAACCATGCAGCCAGCAAAGGCAAATAAAAGGTATTCGAGCCAGCAAGGCCAGTGCGAACCCAACCCACACACCGCAGCTAACCCAGGCACCTTAGCAGCTAGCCTTAGCAGTAGCACTTAGCAGACTCAGCAAACATTGTGTTGACACCAGCTTCAAAAAAGAGGTACAGTGCGGCTACAGCGGCTACAGTTCAGTAAATTTGCCCTGCCAAGCGGAATCATTTCATTATTTACAGAGGATATTGCACAGCCGCCACTGACAAGCACAGTAATCAACATCGGATTATCATGAGAGGATGCCTTCCAAGCTGTCATGTGCTCATAGAACTTGCGCTCTGTTTTTTTGAAGAGGAAGCTCCGCAATGGCACTGCTTCCCGCTGGTGCTGCTTCTGCAGGATCTCCTTGCCCCAATCACCCCAAAGTCCCAGCAGTTTACTTCAGGAATGGACAACGAAGAAGGTGCTCAGGCTGGTAAGCAAGGCTACAAAGCGCTCGGGAAAAGCAAACACCCATGAAGCTGACACTGATCAGCATCCTCCAGAACTTGATTGCACAAGCCACAAGCACAGTTCATTGTTTGGGGACTCCTGAATGACCATGGCCCAGGCCCGTGCATCGTTCACCGTGAACATGGACTTGCTCAAATATCCAATGTAGATCCTGGCACAGCGGAGTTAGGCATTAGCTGAGCATGGAACTCTGATTTGGGGCAGTGGTTTCCAAGCATTTGCACAAGGGTGTTGCTTCACGTTCAAGGCACTCTATGCATCTATGAACTGCATATACGAGACATCAATTTCACCCCGGGCTTCGAGTTGGTGCGGTTTTCGTGATCCTTGTTGGGGTTTGGCGATTGGCATTGGGGTCTGAAAATGTTGTTGCAGGCCGTGTTGTCAAGGTACACCAGGTAGCTGGAAGGTAGCAGGATGTACTAGGTTACTAGGCTGGAGGATCAGGGCTCCGAGTGTTGCGATTTGGAGTTTGGCTCTGTTTAGGTTTGGGGGTTTGAGGGCTTAGGGAATTAGGGTGTAGGCCTATGTGTAGGGTTTAACGTATAAGCCCTACAAGCTTGGCTCTACTCAAATACCACTCATGACCAAGACTGCACTGGAGATCCCGATCCAGGAAACCTGGTTAGCGATGCAAACTATTTTTTAAAACACAATATTCATAATACAAATAGTAGAATAGAAACAACTATATAACAATATGGAACAACCTGCACAGGACGGTTCTACACCCTGATTCTACACTCGCTGTCCTTGCCCGAAACCTTGTGCATCAGGTGAGCAGCAAAGTCTATGTTTCACTAGGGACTGGGGTAACCTTCAAGAGGCTGACAGCACCGGAACTTCCAACCAACTCAAGACCAGAAAAAAAGGACAGCCCTCGGAAGAATCTAGAATCTGGGCCTGACCTGGGGAAGTCTCACAAGTACTTGCCGAGAGCAGCACGAGCAGGCACCGGGACGAGATGACTAGAGTGACTAGAGTGACTATAGAGTCTAGAGTACCAGAGGGACTAGAAAGCCGCTCACAGCTGGCAGCTATAGCTAGCAGCTAGCAGCTAGCAATTCATTGCCAACCCCAAATTCCGAAAGCCTGAAATCGTCCTAGGAGGTTCCAGGACCTAGGACCTGGGGAGAAGTGTTTCTTATGCGTTTGGGAATTTCCGAAAGGATCGTAGTGTGTGCTCGGGACAACTTTTCTGCGAGCCTGCCCTAAACCCTCAACTTGTCAACCCTAAACTCTAAACTCCGAAACCCCGGCCCAAAGCGTGCACCGAACCGCTGCAGCCCTGGAGCGAAATCTGCGGGAGAACCACTTTTTTACGGACGGGCGAAGTCCGGTTCCTCCGGCTCACCTTCTTTGCGTTGCCTTTCGTACTTCTGTGCGAAATCCAATCCTCCAGGTAAAGCCTGGAAATACTCACGTGCCCTTTCCCGCTGGGCCCGCTCCTCATGCGCTGTGCTCTCTTTGATGTGCTTCTTGGCACTGTCGTGGAAATGCTGTTCCTGCAACCACAAAGTAAGATATCCGACTGGGCGGCCCTGGCCTCTCTGATGTCCTTCCAGACACGTTCGTTGTTTGCGGCATTCTTGATCAGTATGCTTGTCGCAGAGGCAGTGCGCCGTGAGCGTTTTCTTCTTGTCGTTGTATCTCAAGCTGCCGAAACCAGGGATGTGAAATACATCCTCTTTTGTTGTTTTTTTCACAGCCTTATACGGGCGAACCAAGCCTTCAGGAGCACCTCCTTCGGCTGCAGCCGCCGCTCCATCTCCATCATCGGCAGACACGGCTGCTGCAGCAGCAGCAGAACCGGCAGCTTCGGACTCGTGTGAGTCCGGCCTCTGCTTCTCTTGCTCTTGCCGAGACTCTTGCGGCAACCCCACCGATTCAGCAAAGTCGGCCAGAAGCTCCCATTCGGCCTGCTCAGAGTGTTCTGATTCGTTTGCGGACTCGTTGTGCTGGTTCTCAAAATCAACATGATCCTCATCTTGAGCGACATCGTCGTCCCTCGAAGCTGCTGGTTCATCGGGTTGAAGTCCGCCAGCCACGGCATCGTCTGATGTCCGCCGCCGCTTCCCTGCCCTGTCGCTGCGTGTAGCCCCTCCAGTCACTCCAGTCCTGGACCGTTTTTTCTTTTGCTCCGCTGCCGCTGCTGCAAAGGCCTGCTCGGAAGAATGGCCTCTCCAGACACGAAACCCTGGAATCACATCCTCCTCGACTGCACGAACCCAGACTCTGTCGGGGACCATGGTGTCCACTTCCACATCTGTAACGATCTCATACCATTCCACACTGTACTGGCACTTGAAATCCAATGTTTCAGAAAAGAACTCGTGCGATGCCCGGACAGAAAGTGGATCCCGAAGTCGAAGATGCAGCCTGACACCACCGTCTGCGACATAGAGAGTTTCTATGTGCTCCATTCGGAGAAGACTGAAGTTGAAGGAAGCAAAGTTCATGTAACTGATGATGAACCACTCCTGCTGTGGCAACTCCGTTTCATCTGTAGCTATGTCTCCGATGCCTCCTACAATCTCACCGTCTCCGAGGCCTGCCAGAATTTCTCCAGTGACTGTGATGCTGTCGTAGGCTGTCGGCCTCGGGACAAGCCTGCAGCACAGAGCAGTCGACTCCAGAAGCCGTCGGGCCGGCCTCTTGGGCTTTTTCGGTGCGGGTGGCATTCCCGGCTTGGCTCTGCGAACACGCTCTGTCACCACATGAGGCTTCACGAGGCTCACGAAGTTCAAGTGGAACAAATGTGCATCCCTGCCAGTGCCCTCACACGTGCAAAAGCCAAGGTTGCAACAGGCACCCGGTGTGAAATCTCCAGGTGCCACCTTCGGGCAGTCGGGTATTGAATCGTGGCAGATAACCGCATGCTTCTGCTTCCAAGCAGACCTGAGCTCCGTGAAGAGGTTATACCTCCTGCCCAGCATTTGCGAAACATTCTCCTTGAGCGCGGCCTAACAGGCTGGCAGGGCACGGGTTGGCCACCGACCATGTTTTCATAGTTACCTATAGTAACATAGTATAGGCCTATGATATCCTATAGTATTTTTATACGCTCGCCAGTCACCAGTCACTAGTCATAAGCCACACTTACCCGCCTTAGCATGCCCTTGGGCCTAAGCCTAAATCGAATCATAGTCATAGTCACAGTCACAGTCGTAATCATAATCATAGTCATAGCAGCACTGGCATTTACTGTCTGTTCAAGAGCAACACGGGGAACCGATGACGAAGTTCATGCCTTCAACAAACAGAGCCAAAGCTGAACCTTTCCAAGCTGTCGCTCCAAAAAGTAACCAAGTAATCCCAAGCATACATGCACAAACCCGACAAGACCATCCAGACTCCGAATGAAAGCCTTCTCCGATAAGCCCCCAAGTGGCCTGGTTCATGATCTCGACAAACGAGAAATGAACCCTGGAAGGAAAGCAGGTTTACGGCCTGAAACG